CTGCCTCGCCCGGCACAGACACGGGGTTTCACCGAGCCCCCCTATCCACCGTGGCACCTTGAGGGCTGAGCTGGGCACGGGTGTGAGTCACGCTCCTGTCACTGTCGGGGCTGGCAGCGTCCCCATCCTGCGTCCCTGGGGTGGTGGCGAGGCAGGAGGGCAGCATGGGGTACAGAAGGGCAGCCGGGTCTTTGCTGAGGCCCCAGGATGGCAGAGCCAGGACTGGTTTTTGGGGGGATGCCTGGGCTGCTGATCCAGCTATGACAGAGGGGACCTGGCTGAGCCGCCGCATCTCTACCAAGGGGCATGATGAAAGGTGGGGAAGCCAATGCTTGGCACCACCGCCACCTCTCCTACTCCCCATTGCTGGTAGGCAGGGGAAGGCAGCGTCCTCCTGCTCCCTCATCCTGTGGCCCCCAAAGCAGATCCCCCTGGGTTGAGTTGGGGGCGATCTTTGGTCCCCAAGACCACCCCTTTGTCTCCCTGGTGCTCACGTTGACTCCTCCATCTCTATCCCGCAGGCGGTCAGTATGGCACAACCCTGCGCTCCTCCTTCAGCTCCCGCTCCCAGAGCAACGGCGTGGACCCCAGAGCCTCGGTACGTACTGGGGGGCTCATCCTCCATCACCGTGGCTGCTGGGGATGCCAGCAGAGACCCAGCCGCTGGCTGTAGCTTTGGTTGTGCCAAGGGAGATTCTTGGCTCCATTTCCTCTCCTCATGGTGGGGATGAAGGCACAAGCTCATGTGCACCCCCTAACTCCATGCTTACCCCTGCTTCTGCAGCTGTATCAGCCGCTGGCCAAGAAGGATTTTGGCACGCTGAAGGGCAGCGGTTGGTCCTCGCGCTCAGCGGTGGACCTCACCCCGCACAAGCGAATGGCGACCATCAGCAACGGGGGCCTGCCGAAGGGCCGAGGCTATGCCACCGGCTATGCCATGTCACAGGCCACCAACACCTCGCCACGGCCCAACTCCTTCCATGAGCGCACCTACCGGTCCCGGCAGAACTTCGACACCCTCTCTCTGCGCTCCCTGCGGCTGGGCGCTGGGGCGGCCCCG